GGGTGGGGGCAGAAAGTGGAATTGAAAGCAGACGACAGAACATTGCTAGAGATCAGGAAAGGAGGTGAAAGGAGACAATTTTAGAGAAGAAAATTTTTCGGTCGCTACCCGGATTCGAACCCGGGACCTTTGAATGAGAGGCCAACACCTTAACCTCTAGGCCACGAGAGCTCCCCAACCTCTGAGTCAGAGATGACACCTCCAGGTATCCAGATATCGGTATATCCACTGTACTGATCAGCCAGGAAAAAGAAAACCACGCACACTGCCTCTGGCTATCGTGACTCACTGTATCTATCCGGAGACGTCTCCGACGGAGATAGACCAATCAAAATACTTTGTGCCTTTGGACCAAGTAAAGAAATGGGGTGGGGGTGGGGGGGGGGAAGGTTACAGGGGGCACCTGTTTTAACCCATATTTTGATATTTTAACGTTTTGGGTTTGAATTTTTCTTGAAAATAATTCATTTGCTACGTTTTGGGGGGGCTATATGTGTGATCTGCAGCTAACTATATGCTTAAGTATGACCCCCCAAAGCAGTGCATTTGTGTGCGGGAGTACGTCTCCGAATAGTTCCTGGGTACTCACCGGAGACGTCTCCGAATATCTTCTGCCATCGTGACTGCTTGCTACGGCCGATCAATATAGTTTATTATTGTTCTTCCTGGAGCTTCCTGGTTGATGAAATATAACAATGCATTCATTGATCAACTGTCCTCTCTAAAAAAAATATATATATATAATAAAATCAACAAAATTAAACGAAACAAAATTTGTTGATAGACGCCTGAAACTTTCACGATCATTTAATTTCTTCCGTATTTCCCCAGGTGAGAGCGCCTTGCACATCGCTATCGTGATAGGAGACATGGAGTCGGTGCAGCTTTTGGTGCAGGCTGGTGCTGACGTGAACCAGAGAGCGACCGGCCGGTTCTTTTTGCCCGAGGATCAAAAACAGGGCTACACCGGAACGACCAATTATGACGGTGAGCCTTCAGGTTTTGCTGCTGCGTATTAGTTTCTTGTTTTCTGTTCTAGGGTTTTTATATGAGAGAGAGGGTAGACGACTGAGAGAGAGAGGGAGAGAGAGAGAGAGAGAGAGAGAGAGAGAGAGAGAGAGAGAGAGAGAGAG